TAGTTGTTTTGCCTAAAATTCAGTAAAAATGATTTTCGCGGAAAAGAAAAGGAAAAAAGTGATGCGTACTTTTATGACTGGCGGTACAATCAATTACATGAGGTACAATTTTTGCTATATCACTAACACAGAAAAAGTACATAGGTTTACAAAAACGACCAATAAACATCCGAATAGAGCCAGTCTAATTTCAGTCGTCACCATCAATAGAATTTTAAGATCAGATTCGATATAATCACGTTTTTTACTCAGTTTTTGACACTGAATTTGAAAATACAAGTCGTAGAAGGATTCAAAAAAAAAAACTAGAACAAGCAAATTTCGCAAAAAGCAAAAGCAATGGTTTTTTTTTTGCAGAAAACGACTTTTTCTTAATTTTTGATATTTTGCGACCGTGAAAAGCTATTCAGAAAAGCTAAAAAGTGATTGTCCTTAATCAGCAGAGCAAGCTCTATCGAATTATGTGTTAAAAAAAACGAAACAAAACATCTTACTTCAATGTCATACTATGGACACTTCACAAGTAAGCAATGTATGTATGTGTCAACCTATGTAAAATAGCGTTTTTCTCGTTCTATTTATCAGAGTTATAATGGTCTAGACGAGAATATTGATTAATTTGTTTCATTCTGTTTCTCTCTTTTCTTCCCTAGTGGTGCATATACCCGTTTTTCTCCGTCTCTCGTTGTAAGCAAAACGGGAAAAAAGAAAAATCTTTGTGCTCTACTTTTATTTTTCTCTACCACACACATACATACAGCAGTGTTTTTCTCGTCACAATACACAGCGTCAATTTTCCTACAATACAACCAAAGCTGTTGAGAAAAATGTGTACTTTTGAATGTACTATGACGTAGTAGAGCATAGAGTTACATGGAGTAAATGTAGAAGGAAAACCGAGCATGTTTTGTATAACTAATATATCTTTTTTATTTTTCAATATTTTAAAAAATTTTCTTCACAAACCATGTAGAGGAACTTCTCTTCTATCGATCTGTGAAATCAGTTTTCAAAAATCTGGGGGTATAACGTAGTGGTGATGGATTTCCTGAGACCTCTCTCAGCATTTTACATTTAGTCCATCTGGGGTAAATGTGTAATCTTACTGGTGTAAGCTGGGGTAAATGTATAATCTCAGCTATTTTTGGTTTGATTAGTAAAGCCACATTTATAACAGATCTGTTTGTTTGTTTAAAAAAAATTTTTCACGAATGGATAGGCTAAGGTTTTCTGTATAATGTTAGACTATTTCAAATATTTATATAGTAAATATTAAGTTTCAGCAGATTTCTTTTCAGAAAGCTAAAATAAAAAATTTTCTATACAGATACCCCACTTGGGGTAAATGTATAATCATGCTGGCGCAAGTGAGATAAATGTGTAATCTCAATCAAATTTACTGATACCTCTAAAACTGAAATTTTTTCGACAAAAAGAAATTTCAAAGATATTCTTATGCAAAAATGTTTGTTATAAAAAACTCTACAAGGCCGAAGTATTTCTCTTCTCATTTCTTATTATAATAAACGTATTGTTAACAAAGAAATTTACATAAACAATAATTAAAATATGGCTTTTACAGTAAAAGCGATAAACTAAACATTTTTCAAAAAACTACTAAGGATCAATAAAAAACAAAAAAAAACAACTGAGTATCTTTCTTATAGTTTCACAATTAATTAGATGTCTTACAAAGTCAGAATGAAGAAATAAAAATAGATAGGTAATACATGTAATTCAAAGATTAGTAAAATTTTGACTAGATAAGGAAAAATTATTTGTAGTAGGATATTGCCAGTACACCCATGGTTGAATAGATGCAGTATCTATGTGTGATTGATTAAGCGAATCCATAGCATATGATGAATGAACATTGGTTTGAGGTTGTAAAGAAGTTGAATTCGACATTGACGAGTTGTAAAGTGGAAATTAGAAAACTGTGTGAGCAATATATGGCTGCTATGTTATGGAAACAGGCGCAATCTTCATCATTGCATCTCGATTAAAATCTTGGTTCATGTCAGAACTGAAGGAGTCTTCCTCGTCGATGCGAATAATTATATTTTTTTTATTTCGATTTCTAAGAAATTTGTAAGCATAAAAGTGTTTGTCCTGGAACAACCCTACTTTTTGTTTGTGGATGGTTTTGAGCTGTTCCTTGTTGTCGTCATAGATTTAAGAGTGGTTTTCTTCGCATTCGACTTTACTTTTTTTCGTTTATTTTCTTTTTCCTGGACTTTGAAAAAGGCCTCAACGCTTGTCAGACTCTCACCATAAGGACGCTCTACAATATATTTACGTTTATTATTAGCTGCAATAATGGGAGACATGTGCTTGTCAATTGCTGCCGTGATAGCATTAAGTACTGATTGATTTGTTACGTTTTCGTTCTTATTCGCTAATAATGAAGAATAATCATCATCAGGTAGTTCAAAAGAACTTATTCATGAGCTCGTATTTAAAAATATTCGTGATGTAGATGTTAAATAGTAGTTTGATGTTGATGTAATTGTTGGCATATTGTTAGTAAATAAATTCTGATCTATAAATTCAGAATAAGTACTCTAATCATGAAACTGTAAGAACCTACTGTAATTCGATGTTGAGGGTGTGGGAGTGGATGTGGGTACGAGGTGTGGGTGTGAGGGTGTGGGTGGGTGTGGGGCGTGGGTGTGGGAGTGGGTGTAACTGTTAATGATGAGTTTCTCTACACCCACACCCACAGCAACACCGACACTCACATCCACACCCACCCACCCACACCTACCCACACCCACACCCTGCCCCACACACACCCGATTAAGCGATCTTCGTATTTTATCCATTGAACGTGATTTTCAAGTGAATTTTGAACAAGTCATTGATCAGTTCTCAGCTGGTCATAAAAATAGTAGAATCATACTGCATTAATTATATTTGTTTTGTTGTTTGTCTCTTTTTACATAATAAAGGATTGAACATTTAAATATCTTTTCTGTCATCTTCATTATACTGCTCGAGAAGAACTCAAATTACTTTCGTGTAACTTCAGAAAAACTGGGAGCGGAGCCCTCTACGAAGTTTTTCTGGCGACGCCACTCAGGGCTGTCGCGAAGGGTTAAATATTGGGGGGGTTGAAAAATTTTTCGAATATTTGTCAAAAACTTCTATAAATTATCGTCATTTTGAAAAAAATTTTGGAAATTTTTCGAAAATTTTTCAAGATTTTTGGTGAGTTTTTGAAAGTTTTCGAAGATTTTTGAAGAATTTTTGAAAATTTGTCGAAAATTCTTCTGAAATTTTTGAGAATTTAATAAGAATTTTTAAAAACCATCAAGCAAAAAAACAAAATTTCCGAAGATTGGGGGGGGGTGACCCCCCCCCCCCCCCCCCCCCCCCGGTCGCGACAGCCCTGACGCCACTACATGCAATCTTCAATGAAGTAAATTTCAATTAATTATACAATATTCTGATATGCAGTACTTAAGTCGTTGTTGTAATGAACATGCAGTCGAGATCAAACAAATCTCATATAAAATGAAAAGTGAGCAAATGAAAGATATCCGGTCAAAGATGAATATTGAATTTCATAACCAAAAGAAAAGATTTTAAGATCGATTGTGAAAGGTCTAAACACAATGAATTAAATTATTCAAAAACTAAAGGAACATATTCACTCTAGCAACGAACCAATAATGTTCGAAAATATTCGAATTTGACCGAATCATAGACTGTCTTTATGATCGCTCATTTGAACAATTACTTGAATACTCAACAATCTCTGGACCAGTTGGACATTTTTCGAGCCATAATTCAGTTCAGTACATATCTAGTGTATAGTCTTTTCTATCAGTGTGTACAATAGATTTTAAGAAAACAAGTTATTTTCGGTGTTTCGCAATAAATATTCAGAGTCTTATAATACAAAGTTGTTCTTCTTATAGATCAAGAAGCTTATCAAGTTGAGCATTTCAGCTAATGACATTTAATGTTTTTAGGGGTTCATCCATAGTTCAACTTTCAAGGTAAACTCTTTGATCTGAGATCTTGAATCAAATATGATGAATGAGAAAACTTTCAAACTAAAATTTCACTCATAATATAGGCTAAAATATAAAAGTCATTATCTATTTTGTATTCGATTCACTTATTCAATTTCATCATACTGATTATAAATTAATTGAAACATTTTTCCAATTAAATTTCGATCATTAATATGTGTTGCACGACCTCATTTAATAACAGTTGTTTTAATAACTTCACAAAGAGTTTCTTCATTAAAACAAAAAACAATCATTTTTCATAAAACAATTTATTTCTAACTCATTATCTGTTTTTCATAATAATTCTTGAGTCTCATTTTGAATAGAATTATCTTTATTCTTCTTTTTTTTAAATGCATATCGAATAATAATTTCAAGTAAACGTTGAAATAATGATATTTTTGTTCTATCTCAGTTAAATTTGATTTTTCATTCAAATCTTTATTTGGCTATATGAATAATATTAAAAAGAAACAATTGAAATTAATTATTTCTTTCAAACTTCAATAATTTCTTGTGAAATAAGTAAATTATAACGAAATTTTTTTAACATATCTTTTATTTCTTCTTGTATATTTTCATGACCAACAACTATTTCTTCAGATTTATGTTTAAAATCTATTAATGCTTGTATTTATAAGACAAAAAAATTAAAAAAATTAAAAAATAAGAAAGTTTTTTTGATGTACTTGATCTTTTGTGGACATCGAAATTGTCGAGTTTTGTTTGCGATTAATGCTGGTGATAAACTTGATTCTTTTAAAATATGATACCGTCGTTTTTGATCCTAAGAAAATCAGACTTTAATAACTGTATAAAAAAAAAATTTTAACTTCCAGATTGTAATTGAGAAATAAATTTTTCTGGAAAATTGATAAGATTTTCAATTCTTTATTGTAATTAATAATGACATAAATGTTTTAAAACATAACATAATTAAAGTTTAATTAATTCATCCAATTTTATTTGTAGTAAACATTATTGAAATTGATTATCATTTTCAAATCTAAATGATATTGGATCAATTAAACGTAATAATTGTCGTATATGATTTACTTCTAAAAATATTTAAAAATGAAATATCTTAGATCTTTTTTAGTTATACCAAGTGATCCCATAATAAGAAGAGCATCACCTAATTATATTAATAGACTAAATTAGATATTAAAACAAAAAAATAGAGATAAAAAAGATGTGTTTAAGTTAAAATTACACAAGCCAATTTGAATATGAATCACCAACAAAATCTCGAAGATGACGAGAACTTTTTTCAACAGTATCTGTTAAGGAATTCATTATATATTCTTTGAAATTTGAAATATTGAATGGAGATGAAACAAGTAATTTTCGTTCACGATCAATTCTAAAACTAAAAGCAGAAATATGCAATGCCAAAAATTTATTTATGTTACAAAGTTTCTTATAATTTTAAACAGACTTTAGCTACTCTGACTTCACAGCTGAAACCAGTGGCTATACGCTAATTTCGATTTCCTCTTATTATGTTTATATTTGATGATATATGTGTGTTCAATATTCGGACAGAATCCAAATCCGGAATTCAAGTATGAAGTTTTATACTGATTAGGCTCCCATTCAAAAATGTTGCACCAAGAGCTCTAACATAGACAATTTAAGGCATGTCAGTCGTCGAATATAAATAACAGAAGAATCCTATCTTGCATCTTCGAAGCTACTTTCGAATTCTAATAAGAAAACTTTATTGACGGTGTTATCAGATGAATCGACTTGCAAAGAATTTTTGTACATCGAGTTCAGGTAACAGAAAACTCAACACATGGGATTCGGATCCAGATCTAGGTCTGAAAAATTTAATTGGATCGAGCTCGGGTTCGAAAACTTTGGACTCAACGATCTCTACCGGACACATGATTATAATCTCTCGACCTTTATATATTCTTGATTTTATTATCGTTTAAATTTATGCGAAAGTAAGTGATGATTAAATCATTCTTAATTTCAATGAAAATAAATAAAAAACTATCTAAATCAACGAATAAAAGTATCATATTTAGGTGTATATTGAAAAGAATCTATAAAGTATTCTGATGTACACGTGATTGATTTCTATCCAATTGGTACATAAGTTCTGCATGCTTTTTTTCTGTTTTTTAGGCAAATTTGAGGCTTTATATCTTTTTCCAGTCACGATATATAAAGCCTCAAATTTGCCTAAAAAAAAACAACATGCAGAAATTATGTACCAATCTAATACTAGCAATTTATCATATATTCTAATGCACCCTGTTTGTATACATAAATGGTAGATATTAATAAATGTCCCATTATTCAAAAAAAAAGAATAGAATTTGGTAAATTTTACTTACCTAAAACGTCTTCAACAAGTTCTTTATAAAGTAAATAAAAGTGAAATTTAACAATAGCAACATGTAAATGACGTAGAAATATTGGACATGAATACATATTTTGATCATCAATTAATAATAAATTCACAACAGGCATTATATCATCGATTGCCAAACTCTAAAAAAGAAAGAAAATAATGTATAATGATGAAAAAAGTAAAGAACGTTGTCTTCTTTTTATTTTTTCCTTTGTACAAACAAAAGAAAAGGCAATCTGCATAGACATGCATGCGCGAAATGGGTGAAAAGAAGAAGATGAAGCGTGCAATCCTTTTTTTCTCGATCGTTGTCAATGAATCTTATGCATTAGAACTAACATTTCTGTCTTAGTTCAATTTTTGTCGTTCTCTCTCTCTCTCTCTCTCTCTCTCTCTCTCTCTCTCTCTCTCTCTCTTTTGTTTTTCTTCATATGATCATTCTTTTCAGGTCTCATTAAGTTTTTCTCCTTTAAGTAACAAGAAACGTAAGAAAGAAAAGGAAATCTCTTGACAAGATAGTTCATCGTTAATTGATCCAACAGATCAATACTGAAGTATTTCTTTATTTTCCGAACAGTGACTATATATATATGTGTGTATGTGTGTGAACAAGCTAGGAAAAATCAAAGACATTTTGGACGAGGCATGAATAAGAAGAGAAAATATCTGAACTATATTACTGAAAGAGAAAGTATGAAAAGTACCTGAGTGAAGAAAAGAAAAGAAAAAAAATATATATATGTCTGTCGAAGGCGTTGTCTGTACGATAGTAGAACAGAAAAACAAAAGAAAAATCACACACAAGTGAATTACACTATAACAAAATTTTCATATGCATTATTTTTTGGTAAAGTGTTATCTTCTATTCTAAAGACACGTCATATTGTGCAGCTGCTGCTTTCGTCTTATTAACCGTAAGAAATTTAACATTTTATACTTCTTTTTATACAATAAAATTCAACTAAAAGAAAATCCAGTTGTTATAGAAGAAAGGAAGAGTACGATAAGGTCATTTTCTTTCAAAACTTTTTTTAGAAAACAAGAAATTTCTGATAATAATAAGGCGGTTATAATGCTGATCACGAATATCACATTTATTTTTGTCTAAATTTTCTTCAAAAATGAGTAGGCAAAATCACCTAGAATTAGAATCATGGACGAAAAAGAAAAGTTCTTCTTGTTTCTCAGCAGGTTATTAGCTTAAAAAAAAATGTTCTAAATTTTTAAAAAAATCTATTTGAAATACATATTCGACTATTCTCTATCTAATGACACAAATTTTATGATATTTTATAAGTATCAACCAGTGTATAGAAGGAGATTAGACACAAAAACTCTAGGAAGTGCTTTGTGTTGCTCTGTTTTGTAGCTCTATCACTTCGTCTTTCTAACGTAACACCCACTAAAAGTCATATTGTTAGACGCAGCTTTTCATGCTCTATCCAAATCTGTTCTTAATAAAGAAAAATGTTCTTCTTTGAAATAAAAATACTAATTAGTTGTTAAAAAGTTATATTTTTCCAACTAGTTTTTTCCCTGTTTTCAAATCTCGTGGATTGTTTTACAAGACATCTCAAAACTCCGTGAGAACAGTGGAAACCGGAACGATGAGCACGAGAACGGTCAGCAGCGACAAGTTGAGCACGCGAAAAAATGAATATACATATGACGTATATTGAAGGATCAATAAATGTATATGGATGTAGGCATGGTTTTGGCGTAGACAAAGAGAACGAGTACAGCCACACTCATACTGACTAGAGTCCTATGGAGTGAAAATGTTTGACTTCAAAAATTGACTTCGACTTCGACTATCCACAAAAAATTTTTCGACTTCGATTGAGCCAGTATTTTCTGTCGGAGTCCGACTCCAACTTAGAGAAAACTTGAAAATTTTTTGATTGACTTATTTAGTTCTTTTTGTGCTACTTACTAATACGAACATCTTTCTGATGTTTTTTTTTTTCTTGAAAATTATTTATCAATCTATGATGCAGTGTGTTTTTGTTCATTAGTTAACATATGAAGAAAAAAGTCGTTACGATGTAAGAATAAAAATACTTGGTTTTTTTATTGATGTGCCTCTGACATTGACTTCGAAAACAATTCTTCACAATCATTTTGATTCTAAAGAATATTCTTTTTTGCAACTCTGACTCGAGCGGAATCGAAGTTGGATTTCGGAGTTTAATACAGAACTCTGGCACCGAGATTCATATCCACATCCATACTCTTAACCTTCACTTTTTTGCGTGCTTAACTTGTCAGTGCTGAACATTCTTGTGCTGATCATTCCCGTGCTTATCATTCCTCGTGCTCATCGTTGAACAATTTGGGTCTAAAATAACTTATATTACAAAAAAAACGCTTTCTTTTCACTTTTTTAAAATATTCTGAAGGAAAATAAATATGATATTCGTGATTAGCGTTCCAATAGTCTATAGATCACATAAGTTTAAGTTAAAATTAAAAGAAAAACCTTTCTGGATCGTCCAGGGTATCATGACCTAAAATTTTTTTCTTGACCAGTGATATACATACATTAGTTTATTTTATTCAGAGTTTTTGTTTGAAAAATATTGAGAGATAAAAATGGGTATTATCACCATTCATCCTTTAAAAATTTTTCAGTTCTAGCTTTTTTCTACTTGATATATCACTTTGAATTGTCCTCTATCTACTGGACATATATCAAGAACTAATAAGTATAAAAAGTCTAAAAATCTCAAAAGATGAAATGTTTTCACTTTATACCGTCGTTTTTGACAAAAAAAAAGGAAAACTCTTTCCATTTCTCCGGTACAGTATATTCGGTCGAGCTAAAACTCTCTTCTACTCATAATAGAAATCTTTAGAGTGTAGAACAAGCTTGCCCTAAGGACAGGGTAAAGCTTCCTTTTTACCCTTTCCAGTCCATTCTACAGGGCGAAATAGTTTGCTTTACTAATGTGTTTTTCCTAAAAAGTCATTTGCAAGTATTTTCTAAATGTAAATATGAACTCCCAAAGCATACGTCATCTATGTGATTCTACCAGGTAGTGATGATTCTATTACAACGTACGAATATTATACTAAGTCTAATTCACCATCGTCCAATACAAACTTTTTCGATTTCGAGAAGATTTAACATTTCTTATCATATTAAAAACATGTCTACCAAATAATAAAAGCTGAAACTCGACCTACTGCCAAATGCTGATGAAAACCTTCGGCTGAATGAAATGATGGTATTCAACCAGAAAGAATTCCTATGATTAATGACAGATACCTTATTTTGCTATGAATATTGTACCAAGATCATGCCCTTATGAACAGAAACGATAATATATTGGATTAAAAATGCTTATTTTTTTTTATTAAGTATAAATTACAATGGCCTTAGTTTCAGTCGATTATAATCTGATTTTTAAACATTAATCTAAGTTTTTTTTTCTAGTCGATTAAAAAGATTCGTCAGTTTTAATTAATAAAAATTTATCAATGAATTTTAAATTGATAAAAGAGATTTGAAAAAAAAGCTTTGAAAACTAGAAAAAAAAAACATAAAGTTAAACCAGATTATAATTGGATAAAAATAGCAGTATTTTAATCTATTATAAACAGATTTGTAGTCTTTTTTATGCATGGATAAATATTCTTTTGATATAACATAAACAAGCTATGAGCACTGAACACAAAAAAACAAATAGAATTTTTCATTGTTATCAATCCATTTAATTGTCGAGCTCAGTTTATGTCCTGCCCGGCTTTGAGGGCAAGGTAGGACAACAAAATGTTGTACGAGTCATTTTCACGACAGAGCAGGGCGAAAAGAATCGCCCTGTAACGATCTTTTTTTGGCATGTCTTTTTTTTTGTTTCAAAATATGATGTACCACTGGTTTTGCCAGAGTTTACAAAAAAAATTCTAGTCGGAAAATCACGATTTTCTTAGGATGCTCTCAGGATTTTGGTATTATCATTCGAACAATAGAAGATAAACAGAAATCAGAGAAATTAGACACTCTAAAGAGTGTCTAGTATCTGTAAAAAAAAATGTTTGCTGCTATCTCACGTGTTGTGACTGAGAAAGGAGGGATAAGAAAATTATTTTTAGTCCTTGTAATCTCAATATCTTCTACAAGGAAACATTCGAGAATTTTGGGTCTCTAACAATGTTTGCTCTACTCATCGATATCTATGAATCCTGAAAGTTTCAAAATTTTCTGATTAGTCGTTCTCCAAAAGTGCCAAAAAGGGATTTTTGAAAAAAAAGTCTGTTTAAGGTTATTGAGACCTGTTAAATTTGGATGAAGTCTAATAGAATTCCATGAAATATCATGATAGTCATTGAATTTTCGTAAAGTCAGCTGAATATGCATAGGGTCTCAAGGATATCTTATAACCGAACTAAGATAGCATCTCTATTGATCTTCCAATCTCTTATTTTGATATTTATCAATATAATTTTTATTTGATAGAGGTGAACCTAACAAAATATGCAACGACGAAATGTAGGACAATTTTTTTGTTCAATAATACGAAACTGTTTTATCCATTGTATTTGGCCAAGTATTAATTTTGTATGTAATGCATGCAAAAAATGATGGACAACGTAACTGTTCAACTTATTTTAGGGTGTGGGTGTGGGTGGGTGTGGGTTGGGTGTGGGTGTGTGGGGTGTG